GGCGTGCAACAGGGCGCAGATGCTCCAGTAGTGCGATTCACTAACTTTTAACAACGCTACTTGCCGAGTTGTAAACTAACAATTTTAGTTGTTTGCAGTAACGATTGTACGATTAACTAACGTACCCATTAACAACACTAAGCAGCTGACTTTTGATTTTTATTTAAAATGATAAGAAGTGGCACCTCTGTCATCCGAAATGTCAAAATCTACGAAAATCACAAAAGGGAACAGGAAGAAAATAAAGCAATTTACACAGATTCTTCTTAAAATGTAAGTATTTCAATAAATTGCGGAATAGTTGATCGTATTTCATAATTTAACCAACAACTATTGTTCTTTTATCGCAGGATGGCCTCGACTAGCCAAGCAGCCAACAAGCGGAGCCGAGCTTCAATGGAGCAGTTAAGTGGCATGCTGGACTTCTTCTGGGAAAACCCGGGACTAGCCGGTGGGAAGTTTCATCGGCTTCACGGGAAGATGGAGCACGAGAAGAAGTGGGAGGAGATGGCTTCCAAGCTAAATTCCATCGGAGGCGCTCAAAAGTCTGCCGAACAGTGGCGTACAGTAAGTAATAAGCCCATTAAGTTTGAACGTACCAGCAAGCAATGGTGCTGTGCGTATGAACTGGTGAATAGGGAAAAATTTATAATTTTTATTAAGGTCTGTCGTTTGTGAAAATAATTATTAACGTAAGAATATCGGTTTTCTTACACATACAAGTGGAGTCAATCCCATGCATTGTCACTGTGCACAGTCTCGTTTATTGTATGTACATGCATTCATTGTTTGGAACATTTTACCTGTTATTTTTTAATGATACTTTTTTTTTCTTACGTACATAGGTATGGCGCGATTTGAAGAGCCAGTGTTCGAGTGCGCGACAGGAAAAGGCAGCAGGCGTTAACCGGCAACAAGCCCGTTAAGCAAGCTCCTTTAACAGAGCTGGAAGAGCGGATCGTGGCCATAATCGGGAGCAACTATATTGAGGGCCACGAGTCTGTGGCAGAAAATGTACCAATGAACTTGGTAAGTTTTAAGTGACTTATTTCTGACTCAGTATTAACATCTTTTTCATTATTAGGTGCTCCAATTGGCCATGGAAGACGGTGAGGAGATTGTTTTCCTGGATGAACTGGTGGAGTGCGAAGGCTTAATAGAGGAGTAGACGCGGCCGGAAACTCCAAAAACTCCTACACTTAGAACCCCTCGCAGAGGATTGAAGAGGAAGAGAGAGGAGGAGCAGATCGACGTCCAAAATAAATTTTTGGAAATTGCCAAAACGCAAGCCGGGGCAACCAAAGTAAATATTTTATTATTAGATTTTGCAATTTTTAATGATTGTTTTTTAAAATACATAGATGCTGTCAGAAAGTTTCGCCAGACTGGTGGAGGTACCATTCCAACTGGCGGGGGAGCTCCGCGGATACCGAGAGGGGTTGAAAGCCTGTGCTGATGCAATAAACAATTTGGCCAGGGCACTCGGCCCACAATAATTTTTTTGAGCCAGATTAGGTTAAGAAAAGTAATGATTGTTTTTTAAAATACATAGAGGCTGTCAGAAAGTTTCGCCAGACTGGTGAAGGTACCATTCCAGCGGGCGGGGGAGCTCCGCGGATACGGAGAGGGGTTGAAAGCTTGTGCTGATGCAATAAACAATTTGGCCAGGGCGCTCGGCCCACAATAATTTTTTTGAGCTAGATTAGGTTAAGAAAAGTAAAAGCAGGTTGAGAATTATGTTAAGAAAGTGAATTGGTACCTTTTAATTTTCTGCAGAATATTATATTATATACATACACTGGTGGCCTGATAATTAGAAACCCGAGTTCACAAATTTTTTTATTTTTTTCTTTATTTGTTTTAATTTATTTTAAGAAAAAACCATAAAGCAAAGTTATAGACTTGTACATGATTTAGAAAAAAAAAATTTCAGAAAGTCGTCAATATTTCAAGCTTTTTAATCAGAATTTCTGGAAAAAATTCGTGTGTGCTGTTTTATAACCCATTCAATTTTGATATAAATTGTGTAACATTTAAGTCACTCAAAAACTTCATTGATTGTTGAGATTTTTTTCACTGACGTTGTGCATTTTCTTCCATACGAAGTATGTTCGAACATTCTTCTATATAGTAGAAATTTAAATTTCCTTTTATACTAGTAAATTATTTTATTAATTTTTTTAATTTTATTTGATTTATATATTTAATTTTACTCTTTAATTTTAGTTTTGCTCTTCTTATAACTGCATACTGGCATAGTACGTAACAAATTGTTATTAAAATGATCTCCTATTTCATGCAACTCAGCTAAGGTTTCAAGAGAGAGTTCTTGACGCTTCGAATTCAGAGAAAGGAAAAAGCTGAAAATTTTTTGGTGAACTAGCTTTTGTAAAAGCTTCCACACATAAAGTCGCAAAACGCTCAAGTTCACTACAAAGATTTTCACAATGCTTCCCACTAAGCATAGCGCGGACACAAACCGAACACGGCAGTGTTCGATAGGCGTAGTTGAGGAACAGAGAATGCGTATTTGTAGGGTTGCCAGATTTTTAATGCGCGAAATCAGTACATTAGACTTTTTCTTGCTAAGAAAATTAGTACTTTTCAGTACATTTTTGTTCAAAGCAAAATTATGTATGTAAGTAACAGAAAATAATTTAAAACGCCTGAGTTCTTGTTTTTAACAATATTTTGGTATATAAATAAAATATAATTCATAAAAAATAAAAGTGTTATTCATTTTAACATGAGTGTACACATCATTATTCACAGGAGCCAATAAATTATTTTATATTTGTGACTTTTTGAATAGCAATAACACTGTAAGGCAAAATCAACTTTTTTTCTGGGTATTATACCAAACTAATTTTTTTTTAAGAGATTGAATCATAGGTAAAAAAGTAATTTCTCCGTTTTTCGAAGTTAGCCTCCGAAATCGAGATATGGGCCTTAGAAGTTCGAAATTGGACCTTTGGTAAAAAATTATTTTTAATTACTGTATGTAAACTACTAAAAAAAGTAAAAATATAGTCGTGGTACCCCCTTTTCTCTTATTTAAACGAAATATATCTTTTTCTATGTTACAGGTGCTATAAAGGGGTTAAAGGTCGGAACTTCGAACAATTAAAAACCTTATACTTCAAATAAGTTTGAACTGATTTTTAAAAAATTAATATCGTCGTAAACGTGATTTAACGCGCTTTCTTCTGATATGCAATTTGTATACTTCGTATGTATAAATCTGAGAAAAAACATTTAAAAGGAAAAAATACTTTAACCTTAAAATAGAAAAATAGCGATGGTAACGATAAAGCTGCAAGAGGGCGAAAATGTTGGTAGTTGACTAGGCGCACTCGCGATTCTCCCCACCGGACATGAGCATTGGAGAAATTTTTGCAGTTGATAATACGTCAGTGAACGTTGAAAACCCGATGAAAGAACTAGGCAACAAAATTATCGAACCAGTGGGCAGGATGAGCGGTGGTAGGGGATCAATCCACCAACCTATGAGAGACCTAGGTGCAGAAATAGCAAAGCTGCACGGTCGGGTGACGGAACAGGTAATTTCAACCAAGAAAACCAAAATAAAATAACAGTGCGTACAAACTTCAAAAGAGAGGAACGACCGAAAACCTACGGGTAACGGCGGCCTAGTGCAAACGGGCTAAAATAAGAATAACGAAAAGCCTAGGATGATAAGCGAGGAAGCTGGCCATTTAGAGCATCAGGCCAATAAATGGATACAGGTGCAAAATCAACGGAAGCTTAGCAAAAAGGCAAGGAAAGCGTCAAAGCCTGATGCAGTTATTATTTCTAAACCGGCCAAGTGGCATGCAAGTTTAAGAAAGGAGCGACCGAGATTCTGAAAACTCTGCAACCGTAAAAATTGTAAGTAAATCACTGACGATAGAGATCCACGACGTAGATGTTGGCTACAACCGAAGAAGACATTGGTAACGTCATTAAAGGTCAGTTTCCAAAATTGAACCAAAGGAGTCGGTTGCAGTGAAGTCCATGAAGACAATAAAAAATGGCACACAAACCGCGCTTATAAACCTCCGGGTTCGAGACGAAAAAATCTTGGTGGAGGCGGGACGAATCCGTGTAGGCTGGGTCAACTGCAGGGTTCGAGAAATACTTACCCAGTTAGATTCTAAAGATACCCTGAATTTGGACACATATATAGGCACTGTAAAACTGAATAGGGCCGTAGCGGCTCATGCTTGCACTGCAGAGAAAAGGGGCACTCTGCAAAACTATGTCAGGCAGCGCCCAAATGCCCCATTTGCAAGACAAGCGACGGGGTTAGAGAGAATCATCCTACTGGAAGCTTCAGATTCCGAGCGTATAAAAAGGCGGTTAACCAATTGAAGCAATGAGCAGGTGCCTACAAATTAATCTGAACCACTGTGAGGTGGCGCAAGACCTCATAAAACAAGCAATCTTCGAGCGAAATATAGACATTGCTCTCATCAGGGGAATGAAGCTGGTTGCAGGACAAGAGACGAAAACCTGCAGTCTGGGCTTGCGGAGCTTTCCCCTTCGAAACCAGAGGCAATAGCCAGCATGAGGGCTTTATCTATACAAAAATTTTAGGAATTCTCTTCTACACCACCAAGCGAGTAACTAGAAGACTACAAAAACATGCTAAGCCGTCTAGCAGCTGATGTTGCCGGGAAAACACCTGTGATCATCGCTGGAGACTTTAATGCGTGGGCAGTAGAATGGGGTAGCTCGAAAACAACTTCACGAGGCCAGGCGCTTCTTGAAGCCTTAGTCAATCTCGACATCGTGCTGCTCAATAAGGGGGAGAAAAATACCAATCAGAACGGGAGCGCGGGTTCGATCATTGACCGGACCTTTTGTAGCCCTGCGCTATTTAACAGAATAGAATGGGAAGTCTTAGAAGATTTCACATACAGTGATCACTTTGTGATTTCCATTGTAATCCATCCACCGCGAAGCTGTGTACAGAAAAAATGGATCACGAAAGTTCAAAAGGCTGGCTGAAAAGCAAAAATGCTAGATAGGAGCATGCTTGAGTACATGGCAGAGCACCTGCCTGACACAGTCGGCGAAAGCGCCGAAAACACCGCCACTTGCGCTAACGCACTAATTAAGCTGGTAACCAATATATGCGATGCACCGATGCCACGAATGCCTCAGGATGCGGCGACAACACCAAAGACAGAGGACTAGGAGT